GGGGAGGGACTCCATCAGGGAATGTAGTGGTAGGACAAGGAGTAAAGGCTTGAAACTCAAAGGTTTAGATTAGGTTTTAGGAAGAAATTCTTTGCTATGAGGGCAGTGAGGCACTGGCACAGGTTGCTCAAGAAGCTGTGGCTGCCCCATCCCTGGAAGTGTTCAAGGCCAGGCTGGATGGGGCTTTGGGCAACCTGGTCTGGTGGGAGGTGTCCCTGCCTGTGCCAGGGGTTTGGAACTGGATGGGCTTTAAGGTTCCTTCCAACCCAAACCATTCTGTTTCTATGATTCTACGTTCATTTTCAAAAAAATAAAAATAGGACTACACTAAAAGTGAGACTAAATGGACTATGAAAGAGGTAGCAGTGTGCCAAAACCCTGTGTTTTGTCCATCTCTGTTGGTTTTACTAGTCTTCAAGACTTAGAGGTGAGGGTGGACCCAGATCTCCTTTTGGCTATCATAACCCTGGGACTTTAATTTGTGTGGCCGGCAGCATACACAAAAGGATGTGTTGCTGCTCATGTCTGCCTTTAATTCCATAGTCCACATGGCTGAGCACTCACCTGGACCATGTGAAGCAGAGGTGGCCTCCAGCTCAAGTCCAGGGCAATGTTCAGACCATACCTTTGCCACCAGGGTACTCCCAAGCTCTCTGCTACATCTAAGGGATGAATATGGGGGAGGATTTCTGACAATGCACATCTAGACCAGACTTGTGAGAAGGTAGTGAAGGAAACAGAAAGCAGAAGTCATTTTAAGTTGTTATGATAAAAACAACTGGAATTTGGGTTTTTGTTTGGTTACACCTGAACTTTCCTCTTCCAGAATCAATACTGAGATGACCAGCTCTGATGCAGAAACCAAAATCCAAACGATCTCTGTCTGCCTCCTGACTAGATCAGATTGCTGATTTAACTCATTTCTACAGGTAAACCAGGCAAATGTGGAGAGATTTATACGGAGCAGAGATGGCAAAGAAATCGCATGTTAAATGGTATTCGTAGTGGTAGGATGCTCTGGGGAAATAGGGAAAACCTGGCAGAGCAGCGAAAGGATAAGAATGGTGAAGCTCTTCAGAGAGGCCAAAAAAAGTACATTTTATTTACTGGAAAAATAAGATGTGTAATGGCTAAATCCCACAATCCCTTACTCATGCAAGGAATCCTGTTGACTGAAATACTTGTGTAAAAGTATTTCTGTGGGTAAGGATTTGCTGGCCTGCCTCCAGAAACGGGCTAAGGTTGATACTTTCACAGAGACAGCAGTGCCACCCTGGCAATCTCAGGACTATGCTGGACATGCCAAATAAGTGAAGAGCCCCTCGTCGAAGCATGTGGGTGGTTTGGGGTGGCGGGGGGGTGGCAGGAAGGTGACGCAGGGAGCAGGGCAGGCGGCCGCCAGCGCAGCCCCTCTGCCTGGGGACGCCGCTGCCAGCACAAACTTGCACAAGTTGTCTTGGCGGCTGGCCTAGAACAACACGGGGCTGTTTTTTCCCTTTTGTGCTCGACTCGGTTGCACTGGGACAATGTGAGATTTTTTAATTTTGTACACAGGAGGAAGAAGGGATACAACCTTTTTGTTGTTGTTGTTTTCTCTGCTGTGCTCGTTTTTCTGCGCAGTGCTGTTACTAAATCAGGTCAGCAAATATTTTATCCCCGAGACAAATTTTTGCACAAAGGGCACGAGAGGCAGCTGTGGGTGACCAGGGCACCTGTAATAGCCACGGACACGAGATAAAACCTGCAGTGTGCTGCCCACAATTTTATTTTTCTGCAGTGAGTTCTTGCAAAGCTTCAGCAGCCAGCTGTGGACAGCAAGGTTCGGCTGGTGCTGAGAGCAGGAAAACAGAGGGCTTAGGTGCTTAAAGTCTGATAAAGGAGATACAAAATCCAGTCTGCTCTTCGCACCAGTGTCTCAGGGAGCCAAGCTGCAAATCTTTCACTTGTCCAGGTGTGCCTGCATGGATGAGAGTCAGTCTGGCCATGCACAGCTCTCCCCTCATCCTAAATGCAGCTGGTGGAGTTACCCGTGTACATGACAGCCCAGCAGCACCAGGAGGGGCTCTGAGGTGATCCCCATCCCTTCCTAGGGAATGCAGAGGAAGAAATGCTCCTCGGCAGCACTCAGCACCCGATGTTCCTCTGGGACTTTGCAGAAGGTGCCACAGACGTGTGCAGGCCTGGTGGGACTGAGGCTCCTCATGTGCTTAATGCCCAGCAGGTGCTGGCTGGCTCAGGACCTAGAGGGTTAATTTTCAAGTGGCTTCTTAGAGCAGATGTTCCCATGTGTATCCCCTCCTTCCCTCTTCTGACACATTTCCTACACAAACAGCAGATTGCATTGCTGCTGTCCTTTTGATCTGCGGGAGGGGGAGGAAAATCCCACACAAACGATGTTAGTTCCCTTCTCAGGCGGCCTGGTGCCGGTGCACACGGGCATGTGCCTCCCTGCCGCCTCTCACGGCCCACACATTTTCTCTGGGACCATCTCCTTCAGCCTCTGCACGCTCCTGGAGCTGCCCTCCAGCTCCTTCCTTAAAGCCTGTGAGGGAAAAAAAGGGGGACAGCTGGGCAAATTGTGGGGAAATGATCACCCAAATCATTGCTGTCTGTGTAAACGCAGAGAGAGTGCTGGCGTGCAGGCCGATCTGCCTGCCTGTCACACTGCTGGTGTTCGTGTCCTGCCCGGCACTTGTGCACCCACACTCCTCACGGGTGCTGGTGAATTCAGCCACGCTGACTGCTGAGGCCTCTGCTGGCACCAGACTGCCTTTGGACTGGCCTCCGAGGCCATTCCTGATCCCAGACGTGCTGTCGGGGCTTGTGGGATGTCCGCCTGCATGCCCAAGTCGCCTCAGGGAGGCCTGGCAGGAGTGGATCAGTATGGGGAGATCAGTCCTTCCCTCTTTCCTCCAGTACAAGAATCAGTGAAATCAGATAAATTGAGCAAGATGGCAGGTTCAGGATGGTTTAAGGAGATAATCCCTTATGAGGCTGTAATTACGGTGTGGATCTCCTGGGCACAGCGCCTTTAGGGTGCCAAAACTGCAAGGATTATGAGGGCCACTAGGAAAGGTCACGGTCCATAAACTCACCAAACGGCATTAAACACAATGCGCTCTTTTTGGCTTAGAAAGCCACAACATGTTGGCAGTGTGAAGGATATTCTGAGGAAGTGTCACTGTTTGCACACACTGTTCTTTCACTCAGCCCTCCATAACACTGCTGCTCTTTGTTGGAGAGCAGATACCAGACTAGGTGTACCTTTGGTCTCACCCAGGATGACCTTTGTTATATTATTAGCTCCAGATGAAGATAGGGAAGAAAGCTCGCTGTCGCTTTGCTACTGGTGGCAGCTGGAGAATCATAGAATCAGAGTGGTTTGGGTTGGAAAGGACCTTAAAAAACAACTAATTCCAACCCCCTGCCATGGGCAGGGACACCTCCCACCAGACCAGGCTGCCCAAAGCCCCATCCAGCCTGGCCTTGAGCACCTCCAGGGATGGGGCATCCACAGCGTCTCTGGGCAACCTGTGTCAGTGCCTCACTGCAATCATAGTAAAGAATTTCTTCCTTATATCTAATCTAAACCTACCCTTTGTAGTTTAAAACTATTATCCCCTGTCCTATCACTACATTTCCCTGTAGGCCCCCTTTAAGTACTGGAAAGAGTCTATAATAAAACCCCTAGATATATGGTGGAGATGATGGAGGTAGATTTTTCTCTGATTATTTTTTTTTTCTTATCATCCTCATAATTCCTTTGTGTGACTTGACTGCTCTGAAAAAAAAAAAAAAAAAAAAAAAGCCAGCAGTTCTGCCTGAGCTCATTCCTAGAAAGACCAAGCATCGCTGTTCTGGAAGAACCTGTGGGATGGCTGGGATGACATGTGGACACACTGCCACGGGGCAGGAAATGTGTGAACTCACCTAGTGCTGGGGTGTCTGCTGCTGAGAAATCTGGATGTAACTAGTAGAGCTTCAGAAAATGGGTCTTTTCTTTCATTTAAGTTTGTCTTCTTTGCCTGCTCTAACATCATCCTAGTTTCTAACCCCCAGCAGTAGGCTTATAGTATCATGGGTCTCTCCTGTTGTCTCTGGAGGCTTGTATAGCAAACACCTGATTATTATAAAAATGATGTGTCTCGAGGCGCGGTGTGGAAAGGCTCAAGCGTGACATTGCGACGAGCCAAAACAGCAAGCCGGGGAGTGACTGATTGAGATGCTCTGAACAACAAATTCTTTTAAACCAAAAACAATTCCAAAGACTCTCTGTGTATTTGCAGATGTTGTTCATATAGAGGGAGAATCACATGTCATCAAACAACCCATAAAGTCTGAGCTGCTCACTCACTCGGAGAGCTTGCGCTCAGCTTCGCGCGCTGTCTCTTGGTTCCCTGAGCCTGTAACTAGAACCAGGCAGCCTGCAGCAGCCAGCCTGCGTGTTCAGTTCAGCTCTTTTATCTGCAGTTAAAACGATTAGCATTGCTCAGGAGCACGCAACGAAACTGTGTTTGCATGGCCGTGCACCAGCACATGCAGAGGCTTGAAGCACGTGTGGATTCCAGCTGGGCACTGCTGGCACCTTCACCTGCCCAGTGCCAGGACCTCTGTCCCTGGGACTGCAAAACCTGCAGCGAGCAGCCCTGCTCTCCGTGTGAGCCTGGCCCCTGGCAGCCCTCACCCAAAAATTTCATTTTTCAGCAAGGGCAGCAGAAGGGAAGAGCACACTTTTCGTGCTCCTGATGGGAAAAGTGCAGGCTGTGTTTTTTTTTTTTTTTTGCTTTTTTTTTTTTTTTTTTTAAACTGTGTTTCAGCTGCAGCAGTGTTTCTGGGAACGTTTGTGATGTTTCTTGGATCGTAATTTTCTGATCTCTTTGGGCTTACCAAATTTCTGATGCTTAGTGTTTCACCTTGAGTCCAGGGGAAAAAAGAAACCTGTCCAGTTCTCTGTCTCCCACATTTACATTTTCTGATTATTTCTCTATTGTGACCCATAGGGAGAGCTCTCATCTCAAACAGTATGGGGGTAGAAAAGCTGGAGTTTGCTGTGCTTCCATTGCTCTGTCACTTCTCTGAAGCTAATGAAATGATGAGAAGTTAGAGACCAAAAACAAAAGCAATGGGGTAAGTGGGGACAAACAGATGCCTTCTAATCTTCACCTTAGTATTTCCTCAACATCTTTCATTTTATTTTGTTCAGTGGTAGCAACAATAGGAATCAGAATTATTTATCAAGTAATCAAATGTCCTCTGTAATGCTCAAAAAATGAATTTTTAGATTATGTCTTGGAGTTTGGGCCTTTATTACTATACAGGCTCAGGACAATTAAAAATAGAGTTTGTTTTCTGGGGGGAACATTTAGTTGAAAGGACACCAGAGTGCTTGAAGCAAATTCATTTCACATTCAGAAGAAATAAGGTGAGGGTGGGAGAACAGTAGTTGGAGAAAAATGGAAAAGGAAAAAAAAAAAAAAAAAAAAAAAGCTTTGCAGAAAAGCACATTATTGCAGGTACAACAGAAAGGGCAGTCAAGGAGCTCAGGCTGGATGTGGAAGACAAGGAGTTTACCCAGAGATGTGGGAAGAGCTGGGCCTCCCCTGACAATGCAGATACCCCTGCTTTTAGATGTTACTGTGCCCATCAGACCATGTTCTCTCTACGATACCAGTAGAAGCTGAAGGCATTTTGGGGAGGGGGGATCTCCCAAGGTTGCCCAAATGCCTCATTCCCGCTTCCTGGTTGACCCGTCACAGACCCAAGCTCTTCCTCCCAGCTGCTTTTACAGGTCATCCCAGTGGCATTACTGGAGCTCTTGGGTGAGGGGGTTGCCCTTCAGGAGCCCGGGGGATGTATTCCAGGGTTTCTGCTTTGGCTCCTGGGTTAGGCTACGCTGCAGTGCACAGATTGTGTGGCTGAGGAGCAGAAGGCAAGGAGGTGTTTTTCAGCTAGTAGAACTGGTGGGGCTGCCCCATATGCAAGGAAACGTTTCTTCCTAGGTCTAAAAAGATAATTTTTATCAGTTTCATTGCATTGTGTGTAATATATATTTAGGAAGTGTGTGCGTCCATATATTTTCTACCACTGAGCTCATAACCCTGTGGCAGCCCTTAGGCTTAGTAGACTTACGCACAGCAAGACTCAAATTCTTTCCTTTTAGCATCAAATCATTCATTACTGCGTGATTTATTCAAAGGCTGCAGCATGGAAAGTAAGAAATGCCCGTAGTTGCCAATGGTGTAATCACGTGGGGCTTAATCCTGCAAACATGCAAAAGTAAAGTTACTTACATATCTAAGTCCTTGCTGCGTACAGCCATTTGAATGTAAACTCCTCAGCCTGAACGCGCATCTGCACAGTATTTAATGCAAAGGGTTTGATCCAGCCTGGGGTCTTTGTGCTAAATATATAATAGTTATTATAATGAGGGTATTAATGATTTGTTTGTGTGCTACTCTTACATCTAGTGCCAAATATTATAGAGACCGTGTATCTGGGAAGAATTTAGCCCTTAGTATTTTATATCTGTAATAATCCATGACTGAGTTGCTGGATTCCATCTCATTTGTATATGCCATATTTTTTTTTCCAGAACATCTGTTTAAACCCACACTGGATAGCTGCCAGATTAGTGGAAAGGATACGGTATAAAGAAGACTTTTGTTTCCTCCGAGCAAGGAGAAAAAATAAGTTACAAGTTGGTGCAGATTGCCGAGAAGAAGCAACTTTTTCTCTCCAGAAGCAGATGTCCTGTAGTGTTTGAAAATGAAATGTTTTTGTGTCTTGCAGGCAAAGGTTCTGCGTTTCAACAATATTGATTGTCAGTTAGTACAGACTGTCAGCCTGCCGTGGTTAACCTACCAGTTGTTTGAGAGACAATCATGAGCAATTAAGAATCACATTTCACAGATTCAAATGCATCCATATTGCCACTTTATTCAAAATCCCTTTTTTCATGTTGGAAAGTACATTGGTGAGAGAGGAGAAGTTTTCTTTTTTTTTCCCCTGCCAACCATATTTTCATTGCTGGCCAAATTAAGAGAGATATATATTGCTCATAAACTTGCTGCAGTTTCTTGATTAAAATCTTACATGCAGCACTCCTTTCAACATCAATCTATAATAATAAGGAGTGAGCACATTGCATTTCATTTCTTTGTATTGTGCCTGAGATGCAAAGCACCAGGGAAACATCATGGAAAGATTCAGCTGCCGAACAAGCAGCAGCACAATGAGAAAAAGACCGTTCTTTCCAAGGACAACACTTTGTGATTTGAAACGGGGAAAAGAATAGGAAAATTAGAACCAAGAAGAGGCGAGCGCTCAGCAGCTGAGGTTACAACGGTGCTAGCTGTGCAGTGGTTTTGCAGCTGATACCAGCGAGGCTGCAAAGCGCTGAGATCAACCTGTTGCACCAAGAAAAGCAGCCCGCATGTGACAAAGCACAGAGTGCTGCACCACTCCAAGGCCAGCAGCGCCTGGAAAGCTTGTGGCTCTTGTCACCTCTCTGACAAACACTTTTCAAGGCTTTGCTGGCTGGTGGCCTGTTGGAGGGATGTAGAGGGGACACTGGGTCTGGGTGATGTCTCAGCAGAGGGTTGTGTTGCTGCACCTGTGCCAGGCACTGTGCATATTATGTTGTCACAAGCTGCATGCATGCAGTCACCTTGGCTAGTGGCTTTGGTCTGAACACCTGGGAACCATCTCAACCTCATCAGCCAACATGATGTAGAAGGACTTCAAGCAAGGATCAATCCCACCTCCTTTTCCAGAAATCTTCCAAACCAAAACATTCTTCAAAAGCAACCGAAATCCATCAGTTGTTCCAAAAAGCACACCACTCACACCGTCAGAAGAGATTTCTGACATCAAATGACTCCCTCTATGGGTTTCTCAGCACTCTGAACCTCAGAAGCCCTTCCCATGCCCCTGCTGCCCACCTCCTATGGTTCATGCATGCACTGGGTCTGTACCACTCGTGGGAACGGGACCTGAAGTAGCATAAGCAGGTTTTGCCTTGCAGAACACATTGAGTTCTGCCTCATTCACAGGGAAAGCTAGCAAACATCAAGCCCTGAGCAAAACAATATACATCAGTCAGAGACTGTTGTATTTCTACAAGAGCAACTCATGGAAAACGTCAGCACACACTTCACAATAATTAAGGGGCTCAGAAAGGATCATAGTCTGTGAACCTGTCCATGGAAATGGTTTCATTTCCACCTCGTGTTCCCCTGCATCCCATCATTAAAAAAAAAAAAAAAAAAAAAGTAAAAAGCAGCACTAAAGGAATAACAAAGTGAAATCTCCATGATTTAGAATCTCAGACGAGTATTTCAGAAATTATTATTGATAATTTTGGGCAGCAATACCATCAAATGAAAGGTGATGAAAATGGGAAATCACAAGATAAAAAGGAAATTATGTAGCTGAATAATATCACAAAATCGTCTCCCACACACAAATGCACACTGGTTATGATACCAAGGTCAGTGTGAGTATAAAAGTGAAGAGTTTCATATTTAATAAGACTTTGTCAATTCAAAACTTAGATTACAGGGATTTCTGCGCAGTACCTCTCTCTGACCATCTTTACCTCTCCTCTTTACAAAACACAAGTTTGTGGTTTTACAATCATATTTTCCTATTTTTAAAACTTATTTTCTCTGCTTCTTGCTTTGTAAGAAAGACAGTGAAACTGCAAGAGAAACTGTCTTGACAGAGGAAACAGAAAGGGGTTTATGCACAACACGCAAACAACTGAACAAAGTAAACACCGACAAAAATAGAAAGCGAGGTTTATTTTCTCTCTGATCTTTCATTTTTGGTGATATTGTGATTAAGGAGAACTTCCAACACTTCAGACAAAAGGCAGATTTTTAAGTAACTGATAAAATAGAGTGTTCAGGCATTAGCATGCAATGAAACCATATCTTATTTTTTTCTGACAGCAGGATACAATGATTTCTTATATTGAGGACTCTACCCTGAAAAAGCATGAACTCTGGATGTGTCTGTTTAAATAAACTGCAAATCTTTGCATCACACTCTATAAGTAAATGCCTTATATCTGTGAAACTGATTCTTCTAGGATTAGACATTCAAGAAAGTTAAGCATGCTTTTTGCCCCCTCTCCTACGTTTGCCTTTGACTTGAAAAAGAAATCTATCAAGGGATTTCATCTGGAGAAAATGTCAAATACCCTGAAAACATTGCTATAATTTATGATCCCCAAAATTTTGGTCCTGCTATCAGAGATAGGTTTCAATTTAGGCTCCCTTTGACAAGATGACTTTGTCTTATGCTGATCTCGATCCAACTGTTGACACCAATGTTAAGTAAACATGCAACGGTATAATTACATTTTACACCGATCTATAAAATATTCATGTAATAATAATGAATACATACATGCAATCATACAATATCATCATCATAAACTGTGGTCAAATACATATGATATTTGCAATGCTTATGCTTTGAGCATATAAATACATATTCATTAGAACTGAAAGTAATTAGTGCATGGTCATTGACAGCTGAGAATATTAAGCACCACTTCTGAATCACGCTCTCAAAGACAATTTTAAAATGACATTCATTTTCAAGTTGTGGGTCAGTATACTTCTCTAGCTATGATAATATTTTTTTTCCAGAAGAAAGAATAATGTTTATACTAATTGCCATGTGAATGTCTAAGCGTTTTCTGTGACTAGTAATCAAATTAGGGAGTTGAAAGTGTCTTTAACTATACCAATGTTAGTCTATTTTCATATTTAAAATTGGCCTTTCCCACAGCTCATTCAAGTTTATGTTCTAGCCACATGTCCCACAGATAAATAAACAGATGCTCTATATAAAGAGTTAGATCATATTCTGAATGAGTGAGGAACATATGTCATCATTAAGGGAAGCTTCAGTGCCAATGCTGGCATTAAGGTAGAGGAAAGAAAACAAGAACTTGAAATAGAGCAGCATAATCCCAAGGAAATTGTCAAAAGAAGGAGAGAGGTTATTTTCACTAGAATTGGCAAGAAAATATTGCTCGGCAGTTTTTGCTGAAAAAATGAAAGAATAGCAAGAGAATATTTTGATTTTTTAATTAAAAAATGTCCTCTGTTGTTGGCAGTTTTGGGTTGAAACCAAAAATTAAGTTTTTTTTAATCTTAATGTGCCAAACCCCTAAGTTTTGTTTGAATAGAACTTTTTGTGAGGGATTTTAGGTGCCTGGTTTTCCGTTTAAAACAATGACAAAATGAGCGAGACTGAAATTTCTCAATAATATTTTTCCTTGTTGAAAATCAAATTTTTGAGTAAGAAATTTTCATAGAAGTGTTTTTTTGTTTTGTTTTTGTTTTTCACACACCATCCATGAAAAGAGGATATCCAGATATAGCGGCTAATAGATCTTCGCTGTCTGAACCAAGCTAGATGACATCGTTGTTATTACTATTGTGTCGTGTGCTTCACAGAGACTGGAAAGACAGTTCCTGCCCAAGAGATCATTGTAATCTAAATATAAGTCTGGAGGCTTTATTTACAAAATGTATAGAATTGGAGCATTCTTAATTGCATGCAGAATATTTTTTCAGAGAAAAGTACTGTGCGAACATAAAAAGAATGTTAGTTCTTAGGATTTAGGAAAAAAAATAATGAAAATTCATGCTCGAAGTGAAAAAAAAAAGAAAAAGTTATCCACAAATGTCTTCTCCAATTTATTTGGCAATTGGATCATAGCAGATGAGCACAGGACTAACAGAGAAAATCTGGAAAAGAGGAAAGTGCTAAAAAATGGAGAAGGTTCTGTGATGGGCAGAGCAGAGATCACAGATGCAGTTAGAGGGTTTATGTGGGATATTGTTTCAAGTGACAGCAGATTTCCTAAATCACAAATTTTCTAAGGGACTTCCAAAGGTGTAGTGAATAATAACACAGAGAGCACTGGAAGGACAGCTGCTTTGACATAGCTGCTGTAACACTGATTTTCATCTTTAAATTCTCCAAACCAGGATGTTTAAACCATGTCTTGGATGAAATCCACAAGAATTGGGGCATCCAAGGGTGGGAAGGGAGGGAAGGCAGCTGTGTGTGTGATCTTGGAGGTCTTTTCCACCCTTAATGCTTCTATGATTCTATGTTACTGAGGAGAGGCTAGAGCTGGAGCTGGAAAATGTCCTGTGGAAGATGTGGAACAAGGTAGATGAGGCTGCAATTTTCAAGGCCCTGTAGTTTTGCCACTTAACCTAACCCATAAAAATGGCCTAAAAGAAAGCTGGACTGGGACTCTGTCAGGGAGTGTAGCAATGGAAGAAGGAATGATGGCTTTGAACAAATGGAGAGGAGATTAGATGTGATGTGATGGGAGCAAGGAATTCTTCACTCAGAGCACAAAGCACACATGGGGATTAGGGATTAGATGCACCTTGCTTCTGTTATTTTCTGTAAAGAATAGACTGAAATTACCTAAAAAACAGTGTTAAAAATAAACCCAGGGCACAGGATGGGAGGTGGAGGGCAGTCCCTGTGGCCGAGGGACAGCCTTTCTCTCTGGCAAGCCAAATGGCCCAGGGGAGCCAGCCCCAGAAAAGGGGCCCTCCGTACCCCAACCCTCCTCCTTGTCTATGTGAGGGCATTTCCCAGGCTGCTCCCAACATGGCCACCTTTGGCCACATGTGGGCCACTCCATCACAGAGGCTGGCTGAGGTCACAGTGGCCACCACGGCCCCGCCTTTGCCCCGGGCCCTATAGAAGGGGCCCCCTGCCACAGGCCCGCCACTTGCTCAGCTACTCGGTCCTCTGAGAGCCTCTGAGGCAGGAAGAAGGCCAGAGAAAGGAGCAAGGCGAGCGGCAGCCCTTCTCGGTGTGAGGACAGCGAAGTGGTCTGAGGAAGCACCGAGAGGGATAGCAGCTATTGAGAGGAGGATGCGTCGTGGGCAGAGGGACAGCATCTCCAGCACGAAAGACACCAGTGCCTGGGGGATGTCTGGTGCCCGGCCCACAGATGTGTATCATCAATATCATTGGCACCGCAGTGATGCGGGGAACAGGCCGGCCCCTCAGCCATACAGCAGCAGGGGGCCTGGGCCTAACCAGCGGTGCAGTGGTGGCGTGGAGCAAAGGCGGCAGCGTGAGGCAGGGAGCCATGGGGAGCAGAGGCGTGCATGTCGGCCAGAGTGCAGTGTGGGACCCAGCCACAGCCCTGAAACAGACGGCAGCGTTGAATTCATGCCTAGAAATGAACTGGACAGTGGCATGGGGTCCACACGTGCAACTAGGCGACCCCCTGGTGCGGCACCGTGGCCGGAGAACATTCCTGATGGGAGGCAGCCCGTGTGGGCAGTCCCAGGCAAGGACTGGCTCGTCCTCCTGCCTAACGCTGTGGAGCCCATGGAGCTGGGTCCACAAGGAGAGGTGGAGGAAGCCATGGAAGTGGATCTACCTCAGCCAGATCAGATCTGGGACTATGCCGGCAGGTCTCTGCTCCGTGCCGTCAGGGAACTCCACCAGCTTCGCAGTGGTGCCCGGCGAGCTCCCTACTCGCTGTCACGCAGGCTCCATCCCAGGCATTAGCCTGGAGCCACCAAACACCATGGACAGCCCGCAGGCTCATCTGCAGGATGTCCCGGCAATAAACAACTCTTGCCAATTCTCAGGGGTTGTGTGAGTGTTTCTTTCCCATCTGCAAGCCCTTGTGTGAGAGGAGCTTGGGAGAGGTGAAAAGTCCTGTGTCTGTGGATGGTGCACCAGCTCTGGAGGAGGCTGCTGGATCTAGCACGCGGCTTTTGGCTGCCACTGCATTGGTCAGTGGCAATGTGTGAAGCTTTGTCAGTGTGTAGCTGGACCTGTGTGAGCCTTGGCTGCCTGTGCAATGGTTTTATGTACTTAACGTGAGAATTGAGCATACAACAGAAATTTCTGATGGCCTGGCCTGACAGCAAACATCCAGTGCTCTGTATGCTGAAGTGGTCCTGTAAAGCCCCAGATTCAGATGTAGCCCTGGAGAGGAAACACCCATCCAGCACTCCTGATTTGGAAGAGAAACGTCACCATGGAAGACATAGGGAGGCTTTTTTGGAGCAGGACCATTCACATCGACAACATTTGTGCTATTTCTTGCTGGTTGTTCAGTTGGCCCTGCCAACAAATCCTGACCACTAGGGAGGGAGGGAAGGAAGCAGTATGGTCCAGGGGCACCACTCGAGCCATTTTGTCCCAGTGGCTGCAGCTCAGTGGCTCTGCTGGCCAGGCTGGCCACCATCTGGGCGGCTGG